CAGGAAATCGCGACCCATGTTTAAAATATAGAACTTCGTGGACATATCATGCTAGTTTACGACCTGTGACGAAGACTTCTCGTGTATATATTTTGGCATTAAACATTGTGTCCGAGCCGAGAAATCGAGACGACAAATGCCAAGATGTCATTTGACTTACATTACACGATCGCACGAAAAAGACATGAAATAGTAACTTAAATGTAAGTTTAACATGTTTTCAAAATATGTTTGTTGATTTTATTTATTACTTTATTTAATTTATTTACGATTTATTTGAAACGTCTTTAAATTGTGAATTGTGAAAGCATGGGTCACAATTTATTTATTTTTAATTGCGGGAAATAGTTCATAACTTTAAATATATTGATAGAATATGATAAATTGAAATGAAATATGTTCTTTCTGACTTTGTGAAAAGTGTTAGATTTGATAAATGAATGATATGACAGGTAACTACACATTGTTTTGATGTGGCTACGGTGTGGCCTGCGATGTTGAAAGAGTTAACAAGTGGAGGCTTTGAAGCTGGACCCTGTTTCTCCAAGCAATCTCAGTGTTTTGATTTATTTACCATGTTTACAGCTTTAAAAGGCTGAAGGCTGTAAGGTCCTGCTGAAATTTAAAACTATCAGCCCGAGAACAAATCTGTCGGGCCTGTTGTTCCTGCACAGTTTAAAGAATTTCATGCCTTATATTTTCAGTTACAGAAACGGAGAAGACGGCCATTTTGAAACCAAGGAGGTTATCTGGATAAATTTCCTTGATCCCAAGAAACATGTTACGTAGTAACTTGGACTTCTTAAGTAGAATAGCAGTCAGTTGGTTCAAAAGGCAATACTGACTAAACCGTCACTACTTAAATGAATAATTACCAGGTAAGTGGTCATTGCCCTGTTAATCTCTGATCTAGAATGAGAGGGGAGACAAGTACAATTTCTCTAGGGGCCGACAGATCGGCCACATCAAGATTTTATGAGTGATTCAATCCGTATGGTAGGGAGAGCAATTTCCCTTTATAAAGTCTATATCGCAAAGTGAGTGAGTGAGTGAGTTGGGTTTAACGCCGCTTTTAACAATATTCCAGTTATATCGCGGCGTGTCAGCTTAATGTGGGAGGAAAGCCCGAAGTGATGCAGGTCTCAGACGTTTACCACTTCGGTGAAACCCACGAGCACGGGTATGGTGCTGACAAACCTAGAAACATAATCGGAGCGAACCGGGATTCGAACCCACAATCATAGGTTTCTGGCGTGCCCAAGGGACGCAACTCTGCACAGCGAATCGCGGCGCCTTAGACGACTGGGCCACCCGTGCCCCCCTATATCGCAAAGCTTCACTTGAACAATGTTTCTCTCTAATAGAATGACGCCTATGAGCCTGTGAGAGTTAAGAAGCATGACATCGTTCTCGAAAGGATCGCTGAGGAAATAGATCACAGTACAAAGAGACGAACTAAAGAATGTATATGCTGGTGATGGTGTATCGCCGTCGTCGACGTAAATGCCACTGGAGAAGATGTATCACATTTCTAATCTTTCAAAGTAACAGCTCCACTGTTGTTATATTATTTCATAATGAAGTAGATCTGCACATGAAGAGACATGCAGATAGTGTTAAAACTGAAACCCACCACTGTGTGAGGGCGTTTGTTTATTTTTAACCATGAACCATACTTCTCTGAGAGTTACCTCCCAAATCGTAATATGTTTATTCCTTAGACTGACACGTCAATTATTCACACAGTCCAAAAGTGCTAATATCTCGCTGCACGGAAACTGGATCAGCGTTTCCCGCATAGCGATATCCTGCAGGCCTGTCTCCCACCCTCTCGACAGGCAAACCCGCTTTACGGGAATGGATCAACGTTTCACAGCAGCGAAATGCTGTATGGGGAAATAGAGGTCGGATAGAGCTAGACTTGTATACCCTGCTCTTCGCCTCCTAGCGGCTGCAGGCGAGAAGCGCAAGCGCTCTAGGGCAGGTAAACCAGGGCAGGACGTGGCTCCCTGTTATGATTGTTGCTGAATACCATAAACGTGTTAAATGTATCGAGATCAATGGAGGCATGCAGATATTGTTGAAATTTTACACCCGCAACGTTGTGAGTGTGTATTTTTTAGATAACCATGAACTATACTTCCCTATAAGAGTTACCTTCCAAATGCTAAGGACACTGTATGATTAGTCCTGTAGTCTGACACAATTATTCACGCTGTCCTTCGCGGAAACTTGGTCAACGTTTCCCGCCTTTCCCCGTGACAGACCTTGTCCACTTCGATCATTGTCTTTGACAAACATAAATGTTTAAGTGTAATAATTTTCAATAAATATTTTCATAATTATTTACGTATTTCGTATGTGACACGCCACTATAACTGTGTGAGACAAAGATATTAGTTTCTTTTAAAAGTTTGTTTTCATCTTTCCAACGTTTACTCATCTCCATGTAATGCTCTTCCTCCGATCAGTTTCCGCAACGAACACAAACCTTTTTAGTGTAATAATTTACAGTTACGTTGTTTTAAAATATATTTTCATAATTGTTTATCTATTTTGTATTTACACATACCATTATACCATTATAATTAGTTTACAGTTAGGAAATTTAAAAAAAAATCAAATTCATAATTATTTATATATATCGTATGTGCACATTCCATTATACATGTGTGAGACAAAGATAATGTTTCTTTTAAAGTTTTGCTTACGTCTTTCCAACGATTACTCATCTCCATGTCTCCATGTCATTTTCTCAAACCCATAACAAACACGGCACAAGAATCAGCCTTCAGTGCAGACTGAATCATCTGGCAGCTGTGATTGGATGATTTTGTGTAAGATTTTTATGTTTTGTTTAATGTTCATATCCAGTAATTAAAACAGACCATGCATTTCTATGATGACTTACACTGAAAGTGACACAGATATTCTCAAACAGGTGACTTTTGGTGCGGAACCACAGGAACTCGTTATTGGTCAGTAAATAAAAATATATATACCCCCTATATGTAGGTAGAGAATCTTACATATAGGGGGTATATATTTTTTGTTTACTGACAGCAAAAGATCCAAGCTCTAGCTCCATGTGCAGCTGCGGTTGTCCCGTTTGACACGTTTGATCCCATCAGGGTTTCATCTTCCGCCAATCGGAAACCATGCTGTGTACCACTAAGATATTTTACCTGTCACTGTCATTTTCAGGAAGCAACTTTTCCATCTCCACCAGGACAAGGTTTACCTTTTCACAAAAACATAGCAGTAGCTTTGTGCTGTGTGTGCTTGTTGGAGGGTTGGGGCCATGGCATAGAGTGAGTCGGGATAATGTTACGCCGCTTTTAGCATATTCCAGCAATATCACGGTGGGGGTCACCAGAAATAAGCACACATTGTACCCATGTGGGGAATCTAACCCGGGTATTCGGCGTGACGAGCGAACGCTTTGACCACTAGGCTACCCCGCCGCACCCTCATTGCATATAGAGCAAACATTGGCCACATGCCACCCATTATTTAAACACTTCACGCATTGCAACCATTTTGGGAATCGAAATTTGGCCTTCGGCGTGACGAGTCGATGCTTTATCCACTAGGCTACCCACCGCCGCAGTCACTGGCTTCATCGTTTAGACTAATCGGATTGATGCCTTGTATATTTCTCGTTGTATATTTCGAGACGGCATTGTCACGTGATGTCATGGTTTCGAGTTCAACCAATCGAGTCCCACTTCCGTTGCACGAGTTTTTGGTCCGCGTTAATTCCAGTCTCCATGGACGGAGTAGAAGTGGCGTATATCCCGCTGCACTGTTGAATGTCAAACTTATCTCAAGATTCTGCTTAGAATTCGTTTTAAAACTCAAATGAATTCGTGTTTAAACACTTATTATTGGTCTATTATTTACGCCCTTAAATGTACGCTTTTTTGGAGGCTGTCCACGCACGAAGAAATGACTTTTCATCACAATAACTGCTGTGTTATTTTGAAACTTAGAAAATAAGGATACGGTAAGTGTAGGACTGTGACCAAACAATTTGTTTGTTGGCATATAATGTATAACATATTCACAGAATAAGACTTAGAGTTAAGCCTTCTTCAACAGTATGCTATATGGTTGTGACGATTCATGAACGAAAAGGAACCTTGGTTACATATTTGGATACCACCCGTGAAGGTAGAACATGTCATCAGCAACCCATGATTGCCGTAACAGGCGACTATGCTTGTCACAAGAGGCGACTAACGGGATCGGGTGGTCAGGCTCGCTGACTTTGTTGATGCATGTCTTCATATACCAATTGCGTAGATCGATGCTTTGGATGTTAGTCACTGGATTGTCTGGTCCAGACTCGAATATTGACAGACCGCCGTCATATAGCTGGAATATTGCTGAGTGCGGCGTTAAACAACAAACCAACGTGTCTACGGAGTACATGTAGTACACTTCCGTAGTACCAGTGCCGACATATGACGTCATCGTCAGGTTAAACTTTCAAACTTCCTCGCACCGTTACATCCAATCAGTGGGCAACTTAGAAGTCTTTGATAAGGATGGAGAAGTGGGGTGCGTTGCAAAGCGCCAATCGCTTGCAAGCGATGTATACAGCGATTCGCCTTATAAGGGAGGCTAGCTTTCAGCCACTTCGGCCCACGACCAAGCTCTGGCCGAGGTCGCTTCGTTCTTAAAACCAAAATGGCTAAATTCGACAGCAGAACAAGAAACCGTGACTGGATAAACTGGGAAATGGGCAGAAGCAGCTGACCTCCCAGCAAACAAAGTCTGCTCCACATTTTCAAAGCACTCATAATTTCATCAGCTCGCCATTGAGCCTCTTCTATAACGTTCTTCATTAGGGACAAGGCAACCAAGCGGAAGTTGCGTCGCCATTTTGGAAGAGTGCGCAAGCGCTTCAAGCTGTTGCTAACCCCAGGATGAGTGATTCAGTTGCTTACTCTGAGCGATTCGTGCCTCCAAAGCGCCCGTGGTATAAACACAAAGTGTGGATGTCAACTTCTTTATTGTGGATAAGCACACACAAAAACACCAACTTTCAATAAATCAATTTAGCTTTACTTTGGTTCTGAATAAGTATTTCTACGTGTAATTTACAACAAAGAGTCCATGACAACAGCTTATACCAGACATGTAAGACATGAATGTCAGACATATGTCTTACCCTTGGGTTACTTTTCCAAATGTGACAAACACTGTACTATCCTCTCAACTATAAATTTTAAAATATATATTATCATGCTGTTGAGATTTCCTGACAGTTGGATATGTTGACGTGCATGGTTTTAGGGGTTTCACCCCTATATCAAAATGGTATTATCACATGCAATACCGTTTCCGAAATCTCTGAGAAGCAGTAGTAATTAGTATTAGGGCGATCTTGAGCCAGACGGATATTTTTTTGCGACTGGCCATCAGTTGACATCGTCATTTTCTTCTCTTTTCAATTTTTCTCCTTTTCGCAACTTGGCTCCGAGCAACCGCTAGTGAAGTAGCCAATGGTTCCTCCAACCAAGGCCATTGCTGCCTTCGTGGTGACAGCTACCCCAGCAGCCCCTGTGAGAAAAGGAAAGTATATATAATGCAAGAAAATGGTTGATAATTGTTAACTGATTTATCAAAATCGAATATTAAATATAATATATATTATTTAAATAATTAGGATCTTAAGTAATCTAAATTTATGGTATATGGGATTTACGGAGCATTAAGCAATATTCCATCTGTATTACGTTAGGGGACATCATAACTGGGTTTCACACACTGTACCCATGTGAGAAATGGACCCCAGCGCCCCGAGACAAGGCATAAAATCAATTGTTCCAATTAAGTAAGGAGAAATAATTTGTTATCTGATGAAAATAACACGTCTTGTTTACACATTCCTTATTTGTATCACATTTTATGCGGTCATTTAGATAGACGTAGATCGGTAACAGCATCAGACCCAATCCTTTGAGCTTGGCAACACCTGAAATTCATAACAGACAACAGGTCTGAGCATATTTTTACATCCACTCCACTGATATATGTAACAAAGGTACCTGCAGATTGTGCCGCTGCAACGGCACCCGCGCCAACTCCCGTCGTCGTCGCTGCAGACATTGCACCCGCTGCCACAGAGCCTGCTTTGATCCCTGCTGCTGTGAACCCCAATCCTGCTAGCCCGGCCCCAAGGGCAAAAGGAGCCGCTACCGCGCCTACTACAGCACCACCCACTACAGCAGGCCCCCAACACCAAGGGTCGTTCCAGAAACTCTTCTCTTCCTCTGAAATAAATATTTAATGACCTTGACTTTGACCTTTTCCTGTGATTTTTATACGGTGACCTTGACTTTGGACCTTCATTTGAAGCAAGGAAAATAGTCAGAAATTGCGATAAACGGTTTTCGAAGTGCGTGATTTGGCATCAGTAATGGCGTCACACAGGACGGAGACTTTGGCAATTTCTGTTGAAAATATCAAATCATTGCAATGTATCTATTTTTAGTTCCCCAATTCTTCATACGACGTCTTCCCAGGCACATTTTGAAAATGTTAAGCCAAGTTGTGCAACGAATAGATGAATGGATAGCTAAATATAGGAGAAAATGCTACACTGTGTATGTATCGCAGCTGACTTTGAAATATACGTGATGATACAGGCGTCTCAAAACCGGCATATGTGAAACGTGATTTTGTAAACACTTTCCAATATGGCGGAAAGTTCACTTCGGCGTTCGTGTTTGCGTATTTTCCAAAACATTCTAAACTATTCTGGGGTTATCGGCGACGTTTTGGAAATATCATTGGTGATTTGATAAATGACAGATACCCGTGATCACTAATATGCTATTTTTGAAATTCATTTCTCCGAGTAAATATCCGAAAGTTAGATTTCGAAACATGCTTGGTGAACCTGAAGAAATACCGAAACAAAAACATCCACGCAGTCCCGTTTGATGGCTGCTTCATACGGAACATGACAAGTGGTAGTGGTCGTTCACTTACCTTTGCCACTGACTCCCAGGGAACTGATGAGGAGCAGATAACATACGAAGTACGTCCGCGACATGTTGTTACACGTCAATGTAATAATCTCTGAAAGAAAGACAGGGGAAGCGGAAGTCATTCTTCAGTTCTGTACTCGACAATCTATTTCCATCGCTCACAAACATTACCTAAACATTGCATGTTTTCCTGGAAAGTGCGTATATTAACCTGGAAAGTGCGCATTAATATATATTATGTCACAGAGTAAATGATATGTCAGTCTGACAATGACGGTAGCCAACATAGTTCCAACTGAAACCTGTTTAACCAATTATCTCTGTAGTTTCTCCAGATTCCCAATGGTTAGTTCTGACTCGATCGCCGAATGACAAGGTCAATGTTTACAAACACTGTAAGTTGTCACAACTTTGCATCTCCATCCGCATATGACGCCACCCAAAGACGTATACTCGGACCCCATGGTACCGCGGCATTCATCGTATCGCGGCATTTGTGATTTCCGATAGTTCACGCGGGACACGCCTCTTGGCAGCTGTCTATTAATGCAAATCAGTAACCAGGAAGTGCACACTTCGTAAACAATTTCAAATTCCTCGGAATGTTCCGTCTGCTGTAAGTTAGGAGTTATTAATACGTTGATACATATTTCTGGCATCTTTTGTAATATTGCCTTACCCCCATCTATCAATGGCCAACGATATAACCGGTAGTTCCCAAAGTAAACTTTCTCTATCGACCCGAACTAGATCATCTGCATATTCATGGCGACTAATGAGGTAACGGAAGTTACGTAGTCCGCACAATTTTTCCCGCTCTGTGCCCAGAAACTATTGGGAGATCATAAGGGCCATAATGCCAAACTTAGAAATACGTTCTTCACTAGTAACCAAAAGATAAATACATACTTTGGGCATACTAGGAGTGCTTTTTAAATATTTATTGTTGACTTTTAACATTTTTCCAATTTGTGACAAATTATTATCATCCAATTTTTTTTAAACAATCTTAAAATGTCATTTCTGATATTTTGATGTTGACTTATAAAAATATTTTTCTCTTACTTTTCGGTAAACACGCATTGAATACCTATTGCTGATAACACATTTAGAATTTGACTTGTGCTGTCTTTGCACTTGTCTGGACAAATCACTGATGTCTTGCATGATCATACCAAGTGGTTGGTAGAATTATGTCCTCTTTTTGTCCAATTCGGACCTCCATACACAACTTTTCTCTGTACCGCGATACGATGGAGTTCTCTCCCTTGTCAAACTGAGCGCGAGGCCCGGCTTTTACTCGGAGCTACTAATGTAAATAATGAACTTTTATCAGTAAAATATGCATTGTTTGATAACATGAATGATATCTGATACAGAGAACACGAATAAACATAAAGGTTAGTGAGTGCATTTTGTTCCGTTTAGCATACATGACAAGTACCGCGATACCCCGAGGTTGCAGGCTCTATAGTGTATATACCTCTTGCCCAAACGGATATCGTTTTTATCCGTTGGCTTTATACTGCCGAGAAACCTACCGATTATATACGTATATTTGTGAACCGATACGACGGTGGTGTCAGGAACAAAAGTGTCGAGGAACGAGTGTTGCTGTGACCTACCTGTCGCTGCACAGACTTATGTATACCGCTTCTCTTGTCCGTGTGTCTGATGGTTTTCGACCGCCCCACTCTTATATGCTTGTAAACGATCGCGGAAACTTCCATGACGTAAGCTATATTTAGCTGCATTTATGCGCCACGTGGCATATTAGCATTTAGTGATTAGAACTAAATGCCTTGATGTTAGTGTAGCGGCCATAAAATTTCCGAGTCCCATGATGGGATTCGAACCACGGACCTTCTGATCAGAGGTCCGTGGTTCGAATCCCATCACGGGACTCGGAAATTTTATGGCCGTTACATTGGCGCCCAACGTGGGGCTGAGCGCGTTCATATTAAATTTGAGCAAAATAAGCCTCAGTACCCTACTATGCGGCCCGGGACGTGCCTTCTGTTGACGGGGGAGTATGTAACAGGGCGTGGAGTCATCCCACAGATGACATCCTTATCTTGTCAGCTTGCTGACGGGGTTAACCTCTTTGGTCATGTGGACAAGGCGTCCGACCTGTGATCAGAAGGTCCGTGGTTCGAATCCCATCACGGGACTCGGAAATTTTATGGCCGTTACATTAGGCTTGGCACAGTTGCTAATATTATTACAGCGAAATATTGCATGGTGCCATCGTCTCTGGCCTAGATCCGCTCTTGGCATGTCCGGTAAAGGAGCGTTTGTTTATATTTTCTATGACCTGTTGTAGCGTGACATCAGCTCACGCAGCACTTGCTCTCCAGTTTTCAGCCGTACAACACATAGTTATATTCGCGCATTCATCTATAGTTCGTTGCATAGTTCGTTGCAATTACCATTAAGAATGCCACCAAAAAGACGGGCCGCCTTAAATCACCGCCTCGTAAGGAGCGGGAAAATAGCCAGGAGGGAACCAAGTGTCCGGCAAGCGACATCGGCTACTGGTAAGTCACGGAGATCAGCTAGATCTCCATTGCACGGACCCCCCTTGCCAAGTGTACAAATAGCTGCTAACTTGCTAGTTGAAGCAGATGATTCGGACAATCCAAACGTTCTCCCGCGATTCGATCACGGAGACATCGAAGAGCCCCAACAAGTGGGGTCGCCCGTTCCGTCGATGCTAGCTATATCGAGCCAACTCAACAGCATACTGGATATGCTAGGCAAACGGATGGCCCAAGATACTTCTCGGAGCTTTACTGGCATGCGAGGGGTAAGTACCAATGATCTTGGGGTAACGGGGTCGGTGGTGTCAAGAAATCCCGATGTGTTGTCATTTAGCAGTGCACACTCGGGCGAGCCGGGAGTTTCCCGTGACGTCACACCACGTGCAGAGTCAGGAGCGGGGTCAACCAATCAGGGAACAGGGGATTCCCTGACCTTCCAGGCGGATGCTATCAGCGCTCACGTCCGTCAAGTTGTACGGGAGAGAGTATGGAGAGGGGAGTTTGTGGAGTTGACTACATTGTTGCCAGGCGCACAGTCGCATGACGATGACGATGCATTTAAGATGCAGATGGATTCGTCGGGTAATCTGCGATTCTCGCCGGCCAAGCCGGCTAACGCCAGGGCATTAAGCATAGGCCAATGGACGTCAGCTTTCCACATATATATGAGCATTTACGTGGTGAAACATTTTTGTCAGTCCACCATACAGGGCATGTTGGCATACATGGAAACAATCCGTAATGCCGCAGTCCGCTCCGGGGGTTTTGGCTGGTCAAACTACGACCAGCAATTCCGACACCGTATGGCACGAGACCCAATTCGGGAGTGGGGCAAGATAGACGGTGAATTGTGGTTGAAGCACATGACACCGACTATGTCCCGTGTTCAAGAAAATAAGACTGAACGCTTTACAGTGCCTTTCAGCAGGGGTCGTGACTTTACAGTCAACGCATGCTGGGACTACAACAGGTCAAGGTGCGCCAGGCCAGAATGCAAGTTTATTCATAAATGCTCCAATTGTGGCGAACAACATCCCGCCTATTCTTGCTTTCGCGCAAAGGGGGGTCGTAGACCCTCCAAACAACTTAACTCCACACAGGCAACCCATGCTAAAGGCTATGGCCCCAACTCCACTCATACTCACTAGATTAAAGCGACATTTGCAACTGTACAAGCATTCTAACCATGCCCATGCCATTTATTTATTACAAGGTTTGGAATCAGGTTTTCAACTGGAATATAGTGGGGCACGCCTAAGTCGTTGGTCTGAGAATCTACGCTCAGCCAGGGATCCCATTTTACAAGAGATAGTAGCTGCCAAATTGAAAAAGGAAGTAAAATTAGGTAGGGTGGCAGGTCCTTTTGAAACGCCGCCCCTGCTGAACCTACAAGTTTCACCCATCGGTCTCGTACCCAAAAAGCAAACGGGTAAGAGTCAAACCTTGCTGGGGACAGACGATTTTCGTTTAATACACCACCTTTCTTATCCTCAAGGCAGATCAATCAACGACAGCATAGACAGCGAAGCATGCTCCGTGTCATATGCACGGTTCGACGAGGCTGTCAGTATGGTACAGCAACTTGGTCCAAATGCTCTACTTGCAAAATTTGATGTGAAATCGGCTTTCAGGATTATGCCGGTACACCCTCAGGACTTTGAGTTGCTAGGCTTGTGCTTTCAAGGTAAATACTACTTTGATAAATGTTTGCCGTTTGGCTGTTCCATATCATGCTCAGTGTTTGAAAAAATCAGCACCTTTTTGCAATGGTGTGTCCAGCAAAAGTTGCCTAACGGCCAACTCATGCATTACCTTGATGATTTTCTCACAGGCGGAACTGCAGGGACGAAAGACTGTGGTGACAACCTTGATACATGTCTCAGTACTTTCCAGGAGCTGGGCGTACCCGTAGCACATGAGAAGACAGTAGGTCCTGCATCCTGCTTAACATTCCTAGGTCTTGAAATCGACACAGTCAGGATGCAGGTTAGAATACCACAGGAAAAGATCGTAAATATAAACGCAATCATACACGATATGCTGGCCTCAGGTAAGCACAAAGTGACCCGTAAAGCTTTGCAGTCTCTGGTGGGTAAGCTAAATTTCATGTGCCGGGCAATACCCATGGGTAGACCGTTTTGCCGCAGACTGATTGATGCCTATACAAAGGTAAGTCATCAAGCACACCGTGTTCGCATCACGCGGGGAGTTCGGGAGGACCTAGAGGTTTGGCTCGGGTTCTTGGGGGAATTTAACGGTGTGTCGGTTTTTCAGAATCAAAAGTGGGCTGACAATACATGTCTGCAGCTGTGTACTGACGCAGCCAGCACTGTGGGGTTCGGCGCATACTATAACGGGAACTGGGCAAACGGGCTCTGGCCCCGTGAGTGGGTGGAGGACGGCTCGACTCGTGACATGACACTGCTCGAGTTGTTTCCGATTGTGCTGTCAGTTTGTCTGTGGGGGACAGCCTTTGCTAACAGGAAAGTACTTTTCTTTTGTGATAACCAAGCGGTAGTGTCAATAATAAATAAACAGTCTTCAAAGGCACCCAGAATCATGTCACTGATTAGGCAGCTAGTGCTGCAGTGCCTCAAACACAACATTTTGTTCAAGGCCAGATATATAACAACACACGACAATATTATCGCAGATGCACTGTCGAGATTTCAGTGGGAACGATTCCGCAATGCAGCTCCATCAGCCAATCTGCATCCCACACCACTTCCAGACAATCTCTGGCAGGGCTAACAATCGAGGCAGAGAGGCTCCTTCAGCGATCATTGGCGGCAAACACGTGGGCAACTTACCAGGCAGGAACCCAAGCGTTGCAAGCATTCAGGGCATCACAAAACCTGGGAGATGTCTGGCCGGTTCCAATAACTCATCTGGTACATTTCATTGCTCACCTGTCAGTGTCAGGACATGCACCGAGTACGGTAAGAACGTATATGGCCGGTATCTCAACGTACCATAGGCTACACAGCATGGAAGACCGCACCGGCCACTTTGTTATTACTAAAATGATTATGGGGATGCAAAAGTGTCAGGGGAGGCAGGATCACAGAAAACCAATAACAATAGACCTGCTCAAAGTAATTGTAAACAACCTGCAATTTGTCTGCTCTTCTACCTATGAAGTAAGATTGTTCAAAGCAGTATATTGCTTGGCCTTCTTTGGTTTCTTTCGGGTGAGTGAACTCGTGCAAACCAAACTTTCGCAGCCAGGGTGCGCTTTCTTGGACCTAGAAGTCCAAGACACGACTAAGACAGTAACAGTCGCTCTAAGGCATTCAAAAACGGACAGGCACTCACATGGCATAGTTGTTTCCATTTCCGCCATACCTGGCCACAATCTGTGTCCAGTGGCTGCAGTTAAAGCATACCTAACAGTTCGATCACAGGGTCAGACTCAAGCTTTCGTACACTTTGATAAATCTCCCCTGACCAGGTATCAATTTCAGGCCGTGTTAAAAAGAGCACTGGCGCATAGCGGCATCTGCACAGCAGCATACTCTTCGCATTCCTTCAGGATTGGCGCAGCAACGACAGCAGCCGGTAACGGAGTGAGTTCAGATTTGATACAGCACTTTGGTAGGTGGGGGTCAGAATGTTATAAAAGCTATATACGCATACCTGCAAACATTTAAATCGCCAACCATGCAAGAACAGTTTTCTTCCTATTGATTCATGTTTTCAGTATGGTTGATTGGGTCCAGCTTCCTGACCCGGGCGAGAGAGCACCTACAGGACAGTGACTTCGGTATTCCAGGGGGATGTCTCTGGTTGGCAAGGGGCGGCATGAGGTGGGAGGAGCTGACCGTGCTGATAGATGCCCAGGTCAAAGCAATGCAGACACCACCAAAGGCGGTGGTGATTCACCTTGGTTCGAACGACCTGGGTAAGGTAACCACGTGTCAGCTATATCATGAGATCAAGCTGGCACTCCTGAGGATACACCTCCTCCTACCTGGTGCTGTCATTCTGTGGTCAGACATGCTGCCACGGAGGTACTGGCATGTAGCCAGCCGTGCCCGGGACCTGGACGGGGCCAGGCAGAAGCTGAACAGACGAGTGGGGAACAGGGCCCGTGAGCTTGGGGGGATACGGGTTCCCCACACAGTGTTCAACCGGCAGGAGCAGCAACTGTACCTGCGTGACGGGGTTCATTTGTCACCGGCCGGACTTGATCTTTTCACACAAAACATTGGCAGCTCCCTTTCCGCAGTATGCTTGTAGGAAACAATTTCAGTATAGGATAACATGGTGGGTGTACATGAGCGCGAATGGTCGTGGTTGTGGGGAAGCACCTTGGTGCTTGTGGCGGGGTGCTGGTGGACTGCATTACAAGTTACATTTGGCGTCTTGGGATACATCCCAAATTATAAATTATTTAGGATAGGGTTACCCGCTTTACAGCAGGAACCAATTTATCCATTCTGCTTTACAGCAGATGGCTTAGTGTCCGCTTTACAGCGGATGGTCAGCTTGGCAACAATAGTTGCCCTCGCTCATGGTTTGGCAATGGTACTTGCCTGGCAGCGATAGCTGCATAGCAACATGGGTTGCTTGGCAACGGTAGTTGCAGGGCAGCGGGCGCTGCATTGGTAAGCAACATGGGTTGCTTGGCAACGGTAGTTGCAGGGCAGCAGGCGCTGCATTGGTAAGCAACATGGGTTGCTTGGCAACGGTAGTTGCGGGGCAGCGGATGCTGCATCGGTAAGCAACATGGGTTGCTTGGCAACTGTTGTTGCAGGGCAGCGGTTGCTGCAGTTGGGGTTGCTTAACAGGGGTTAAGCTCATTGCCGTAGTCCACCAGTACCTCCACATCCGCGACCATTTCATCCAATTATGTCTCTTGTCTTAATTTAAAGCTCCGCTATCATGCATGATGGCGGAGCCTGTCATAATGGAGCCATGTCCTTATATAATAGCATTTAGTGATTAGAACTAAATGCCTTTATGTTAGGCTTGGCACAGTTGCTAATATTATTACAGCGAAATACCTTCATTCCGTGCGGCTACGTGCCGTTTTGCATGGTGCCATCGTCTCTGGCCTAGATCCGCTCTTGGCACGTCCGGTAAAGGAGCGTTTGTTTATATTTTCTATGACCTGTTGTAGCGTGACACCAGCTCACGCAGCACTTGCTCTCCAGCTTTCAGCCGTACAACACATAGTTATATTCGCGCATTCATCTATAGTTCGTTGCACCCACCCACGCACCCTGTTATCCTTAATTCCAAGTTATTCAAGCTTTGCAGTTGTCAATTGGTGGAATTTTACTGGAGCATAATGTTTGTATATAATGATGTTGTCATGAATAAAATGTTGCGGATGGGCGGGGTGCTGGTGGACTGCATTACAAGTTACATTTGGCGTCTTGGGATACATCCCAAATTATAAATTATTTAGGATAGGGTTACCCGCTTTACAGCAGGAACCAATTTATCCATTCTGCTTTACAGCAGATGGCTTAGTGTCCGCTTTACAGCGGATGGTCAGCTTGGCAACAATAGTTGCCCTCGCTCATGGTTTGGCAATGGTACTTGGCGATAGCTGCATAGCAACATGGGTTGCTTGGCAACGGTAGTTGCAGGGCAGCGGGCGCTGCATTGGTAAGCAACATGGGTTGCTTGGCAACGGTAGTTGCAGGGCAGCAGGCGCTGCATCGGTAAGCAACATGGGTTGCTTGGCAACTGTTGTTGCAGGGCAGCGGTTGCTGCAGTTGGGGTTGCTTAACAGGGGTTAAGCTCATTGCCGTAGTCCACCAGTACCTCCACATCCGCGACCATTTCATCCAATTATGTCTCTTGTCTTAATTTAAAGCTCCGCTATCATGCATGATGGCGGAGCCTGTCATAATGGAGCCATGTCCTTATATAAAGCGCTCTGTCTATACACGAATCCGTTCTACTTTCAGTTTCGTTTCTGTGACTATGTGCTGCATTTGGTCCCGTTTTTAAAGTCAATAACTGGTGTCAGTCACTGCCGATTCACATGATAGACTGTCATTAAACTGACATTGATATGACATTGTATATAACAGGAATGTGCAGATGGAGACGGGGAAATGACACTGCTGTTCCACCCAGAGAAGGGTGACTGAAAGGCCCAAGTGAAAAAAATACTTTGTAGACAGTGAAGAACGAAAATAATTGTAAACAAAAGCTTTCCAGTGAGGGGCGTTTTTAGACTACTCTGTTAACAGCTGGGCAAACCTGTCAGGTTTCAATTTGACTGCTGATATAGATGTATCGATCTAAGTATATATACATATGCTGGAGTCAATGTTCGTCAAGGTTATGGCTAATTACTCCATTTATCAAAGATAATACCCCCCATGTTATTGATGCAACATACACACGTGACATTGATTAAACAATCACACACAAATATTGTACACTATAAGTGTACGGCGCCAGGTGCCATGCCTTATTGATTATGGGTTTGAGAAAATTATATAGGACAAACGGTGCTCTCTTGCAACGCGAAACCACACAGGGTACGAAGGTCCGCTATCTTTGAACATTCCGAAAAGTGGTCACAGGTTGTTACATATGTAACAAATATTACCAAAGTTCAACATTAGAATACCCATAGTCTTGAGTTGTTTAAAATTAGTGATCAAAGCACATAGGTTTTCAAAAAGAAGTTGACAAATACCCTCCAAACTTATTCCAAGGATAGATGTTATAATTTCATCGCAACATGTTGTGCACTGTTTGGACTTAGAATGAGTGAGTGAGTGAGTATGGTTTTACGCCGCTTTTAGCAATATTCCAGCAATATCACAGCGGGGGACACCAGAAATGGGCTTCACACATTGTACCCATGTCGGGAATCGAACCCGGGTCTTCGGCATGACGAGCGAACGCTTTAACCACTAGGCTACCCGACCGCCCCTTTGGACTTTGAAATCAGCTAGAGAAGTCATTTATTGGAAATCGATTATGCCTTTTCCTTTGTAGGGGTGGCAGGTTGTAGAAATAGTCTTTAAAATGCTAAACGAATACATTTCTCGAACAAACGTTAGGAATAAACATTCTACTATTTAATTTACAAGTGTAAGTCTTATTAATTAGTGAGCAATTACCCCCAGTAAATAATTAAAAAAATGAAAATAAATTCCTCTCCACCACGTAATTGGATGTGGCAGAACTTAACCTACATGACCGTTACTCACACCTCACAACTGTCAATGGCTGACAATCTTGTGTTTACATACTCCGTAACAAGTTCAGAAGCAAGATGCCAACCCCGGTCGATGATGTGGTTCAACATCAATCTGTAGATTTACCGGGAATGATCGAGCCTGCTGGTACAATACGGTTACCAATGGAACTGAGTATGACAGAACAGCCGCTTGACACGGCTAGTTTGACACGAGGGGTCCGATTGGACCTGTCAATTTCAAGATTTCACCGAAAATTAATATGATAGTTGAGACCCAGAAACAGTGGTTCGTGTATGGTTTTCTCAATTGTGCGTGTTCTGAAATGATTCTCAACAAGTTTTAGCAGTTGTTATGATCAAGTGTGCTGTGACTTCAGTGATGTCCCGATATTGTTTTCGCCTTTCGAAGGGAGGAGTGTTTTCTGATCGACTTTCAAATCAACTCCTGCCAAATCCTTACGGTGGTGGTTGACGGAAATGGCAATGAATATCGATCATAAAAACGGTTTGAAAACAAAATGTTGTCATGAATAAGTTTATTCAAACATGTTTTATAATGTTATATTTTATTTTCATTGTTTCATAAACGTTCATTTGTATGCAAAAGATACGCCTTCCTTAAATCTTGTAATGTCATCATCAATACAGTCAGGGTTGCGGCCTAGAACGCCAAAAACATCAGATATCAAACTACCGTTTTTCCTCTATTAGACGCTAGGCCGTCTTTTAATTTCGCGGAAGACGTTGAGTCCGTGTGTATTGACCTGGCTTGTAATTGAGACCCAGCGTATAACAGAGGAAATATAGTTACGTTTTACAGTTCACGTGGGGTTGATCAATCGGCAGACATTTTTTTATGAATCGATACGTAGGCTATGGATGCCCGTTTTTTATGTGAAAAGGCTTAATATTTTTGAAAATGGTTTCCGTAGCAAAAAGGAAACCTCTTTTTAACCAATCAGAATCAAGCATTCATCAGTGTCATGGTAGAATTTCATATACACTGCTCTATTTTGTGACCTGATGTATTCAAACAGTAAAGTTTAGAATTGAAACACATGGCATAACTTCACACTGGTGCAATGGTAAGTACCAGCATGGAATGAGAATCAGATTCAAGCTGAAACCATACAAAAACAGTTTATTTTCATGTACGAAACACACCTTGTCACATGACCAACTCGGTCGGTGATAGTTCCAAATACGGTATAACATGAACAACATACACGCACGTTGGCACAACTCTCAAACCGTTCCGGCGATAAACGCATGTCATATGAAATTACACTTTCATAAACACAATTTTATAAATACATCTTTATAAAACAAAGATCTGAGGACATCCAATTAGGGGTCACGTCAGGACGACCTTTCATCCGACCAATCAGAGCATCGCTTACCAGATTATGAAAGTGACAGTCGGAATGGGATTTCTAATCATGCAACCTCAAAAACGTTAACTCCGAACGATAGTTACGGGTTTAACGACTGAATCCATACAATCTAGACCATCTATTAGCCATTCCAGAATGTTGTTTTGCACAGGTTTCAAATTTGTAATCGAGAATTACAATTAGAGCACTACGAATTACGGCGCATGACATATTGATATATGAGAGAACATTTTGCCAATTTACCTTTTTTTGGTAAGCGATCAGCTGATCAGGGAGTCTACATCTTTATATAATCTCCCTGAGCAGATTGTGGGAATATTTACATACACTGGTGGCATATCGGACACAACGTCACAACAAAACAAAATCATAAATCAATGTATAATCCACGAAAAGGACCTATCATTTTGTACGCATATGCTGTCTGTGATAGATGGACGATCCAGCAGAGGGTCTTAAATCAGCACTAAATCAGCTGGGCAGAATGTCAGATCGATGCTACGACATCAAAGTAGTCTGGTACACCGTCGTCAGTAACAGCAACAAGTGCGGTGCGATGACGTAATCAACATGGTGGTGTACTAGCGTCAGTGCACGTGCAGGAGCACGGGGGAAGCCGGGGAGAGATGTGCACGATTGTTTCTGTGTAAAGCTTCCTCTGTCATATTCCAAGACGGCCCATCCTTATAAGGTTGAAGGGATTAATCATCTTTATAAGTTAGATAGATATGTGTAGTTGAAGGTCTTTTAATTTAATTGGTGATGTTATTGGTGTAAAGTGTGTTCAAGGGTTATTTGGTTTTCGGAGTCAAAGTAATAACTACAGAGTGAAAGAACCTGTTACCTAGGCAAACCGGTTATCTGGATAAATTTCCTTGATCCCCAGAAACATGTTACATAGTAACTTTGACTTCTTAAGTAGAATAGCAGTCAGTTGGTTCTAAAGGCAATACTGACTAAGCCCTCACTATTTAAATGAATAATTGCCAGGTAAGACGTAATTGCCCTGTTAATCTCTGATCTAGAATGAGAGGGGAGACAAGTACAATTTCTCTAGGGGCCGACAGATCGGCCACATCAAGATTTTATGAGTGATTCAATCCGTATGGTAGAGAGAGTAATTTCCCTTTATGAAGTCTATATCGCAAAGCTTCACTTGAACACTGTTTCTTTCTAATTGAATGACGCCTATGAGCCTGTGAGAATTAAGAAGCATGACATCTTTCTCGAAAGGATCGCTGACAAAATAGATCACAGTACAAAGAGACGAACTATACAATGCATATGCTGGTGATGGTGCATCGCCGTCGTCGATGAAAAATGCCACTGGAGAAGATGTATCACATTTCTAATCTTTTCAAAGTAAAGTATTATTTCATAATGAAGTAAATCTGCACATGAAGAGACATGCAGAAAGTGTTAAAACTGAAACCCACCACTGTGTGAGCGCGTTTGTTTATTTTTAACTATTAACCATACTTCTATACTTCTCTGAGAGGTACCTTCCAAATCGTAATATGTTTATTCCTTAGACTGACGCGTCAATTATTCACACAGTCCAAAAGTGCTAATATCTCGCAACACGGAAACTGGATCAGTGGTTCCCGCATAGCGATATCCAGTAGGCCTGTCTCCCACCCTCTCGACAGGCAAACCCGTTTTACGGGAATGGATCAACGTTTCACAGCAGCGAAATGCTGTATGGGGAAATAGAGGCAGGACGTGGCTCCCTGTTATGATTGTTGCTGAATACCATAAACGTGTTTAATGTAACGAGATCAATGGAGGCATGCAGATATTGTTGAAATTTTACACCCGCAACGTTGTGAGTGTGTATTTTTTAGAAAACCATGAACTATACTTCCCTATAAGAGTTACCTTCCAAATGCTAAGGACACTGTATGATTAGTCCTGTAGTCTGACACAATTATTCAGGCTGTCCTTCGCGGCAACTTGGTCAACGTTTCCCGCCTTACCCCGTGACAGACCTTGACCACTTCGATCATTATCTTTGACAAACATAAATGTTTTAGTGTAATAATTTTCAATAAATATTTTCATAATTATTTACGTATTTCGTATGTGACACGCCACTATACATGTGTGAGACAAAGCTATTAGTTTCTTTTAAAAGTTTGTTTTCATCTTTCCAACGTTTACTCATCTCCATGTAATGTTCTTCCTCCGATCAGTTTCCGCAACGAACACAAACCTTTTTAGTGTAATAATTTACA